ATAATACATGACCAAATTTTACGTTTTTCGAATTTTAGATTCTACATAAATTGTGTATGCATTATATCCATAATTGTTGAATTATGTGAATTTAATATTGCCATGAATTGCGTCAAATATATGTCCATGTATTAAATTATTGAACTCAATATGCATGCAATTGAGTTTTATAATCTTAACAAAAAAAAAAAAAATTACGAAGTGCTAGGGTTCTTCGAACCCCACAATCTGAGGCACAAACCTGAGCTATTAGCCTAGGGCTGCAACCTATATGGTTGAGCCGCGCCGAGTCGCGAGAGCACAAGCAGGAGTCCTTGGCTCCGAGTTTGAAAACCCATAAACCCCAACGTCTTCTATGGCGTCTTCACCATCACAAGTAGGCCTACAACCCAACCTTGACCTTGGGTCACTGTCCCAACGGCCTGAAGCTCGTCCACTGATGTAGATTAACTGAGATTCCTTCAAATCTCGTCGGATATTCTTTGAAATTCCTATTTGAATTTCTAAGGTTTTGGTTGAAACGTTAAGATTCATCTATCTCCATTCATATTCGTGATTCCCGTTGCCTCATGAACTTGTCCCTGAGAATTTTTGTCCCAAAACACGACCACCTGAAGCAGCGGAGCTAGTCTTCTTCCCCGATGAGCTCACCCAGGTACGCTTGGGGTGTTTTTGGTCCCAACTCGAGCCCAATTGGGCCTTGGTTTTCTCGGCCTGAAAGATTTTTTTTTTTTTTTCTTCTTCTTGGGTTTGCTTGAAGCAGCCCAAACCTTTAGCTCGGCCCAAATTCGACACCAACCCAGTAGGGCTATGGTTTCCTCGTGCATGTTACCACACCTAATCCCAGCTCGTAGTTGGTGAATCAATGCACATGTACCGTGATGTATAGGATTGCGTCCCCCAGGAACACAAATGCTGCGAAGCAGTGGAGTACTTTTTTGCATAGGACATACAGTCATAGCCTGCTCATCGCGGTACCTAGATCAAAGCTCGTTTGGGCCTTTGTCTTTGGGCTTGCACTTGTAGCCCTTTTTTTTGTGATGTTGGGCCAACCTGCATGCTAGGCCCATGCCCATTCCAGCCTAAGTTTGGGCCTGGACCTCACAGTGCAAATTTACTCAGCCCATTCGTGGGCTTTGGTCCAAGTTTTTGGGCCCTAAGTTATAATTGCCTAATTTTTTTTAGGCCCAATGGGTTTTATAATTTTTTTAACCCAACTTTAAATTTTGCCCGAAGTCCAAATAATTACTTCAATTATAATTACAGACCTGAAGTTCTATTTGTATATTTTCTCATATTTCTGTATACATATTTGCATTTGCCTACAAGAACATATGAACTTGAAGTTCATAATTATTTCGAAACCTAAAGTTTCTAGAAACATGCCTTGTTTGAAAACCTGAAGTTTTCTTTAAAAACATCACCCATGAAACCTAAAGTTTTTTCATGTGAATTTTAACCAATACATGTCTATTAGAACCTGAATGTTCTCCTCCTATGTGAATGGATTGATATTTTCCTCCATTACACTGATCACATCTTGTCCTTTATTTTGTGATAGGAACATGTCGAATTTGAACAAACATGACTTCACCTCTTTAGAGCTCTCTGGAAGGAACTACCTCAAGTGGGTCCAATATGTGGAGCTTCACCTCACTACAAAGAATTTGTGTGCCGCTATTGAAGATGATATGGAAAACCTGGTTAGTGAAGTTGAGAAAGCCACTGCCATGATCTTCATCTGAAGACATATTCATAGTGTACTACAAAACCGAGTACCTTACTAAGGAGGATCCATGAGCACTATAGGTTGTTTTGGCTGATCAATTTGATCACCAAAATGACATCTTCTTGCCTGAAGCAAGACATGACTGGCATCATTTATGTCTATGAATGAATATAATTCTGAAGTTTGTCGAATCCAATCACTTCTCAAGTTTTGTAACGAAATTTTAACCGAAGAAGATCTCATGGAGAATACCTATTCGACTTTCTTTGCTACTACTTTTTTCCTGCAACAACAATATATAGCTAAGAAGTTCACTAAGTTTTAGATTTGATCTCTGTTTTACTTCTCGCTGAAAATCAGAATCAGCTGTTTATGAAAAATCATCAAGCTCAACCGACTGGGGTGATTGATGTGCCTGAAGCACACTATAGCATGAACCAATGCCCGGCTAGAAACCACCCTGACAAGGTTAACAGAGCCAATGCCTATCTAAATGCGGAAACAAAGCCCAGAAGCGCCCTAACCTGGCTCCCAAGGCTCCAAACTTTAAGAATAAAGGGAAAGCACCTAAAACGATAGATGTAGACATGTGCTATCGTTGTGGTTCAAAGAACCATTGGTCCCGTGTTTGCCGAGCTCCCCAAAAGGTTGTAGCTGAATATCATTCTCGTTGTAAAAAGTTTGAATCAAACTTTGTGCAAGTGGATGAATCGGAGAGTACCATGGAGGTTTCTGACTTTCAAGAGGCCGTTACCCCTATGGAAGATTAGAATCTTAGATATAAACTATTTTCTAGTTGAAATTTAGATATTAGGGCCAAATTCCACCTAGTGGCTAAACCCCCTTGTGTTTTTGGTTAACTTTGAACAATTTTCCTTTATGTTTGGATTATTTGTTGGTGATTTGTTTTTTGGATATTAATTTAATTAATATCCGTCCTTGAATACTTAAAATTATTTTGAATGGATATTTGTTTTAAAGAACTTTTATGCATGTGACTGATTCAAATTAATTTTCATATAGGTATGAGTAGTGTTGACGTTAGTTGTTTGGCAGATAGTGGAACCACACGAATCGTTTTACGTGAATGCATTTATTTCACTAACTTCTTACCTAAGAATGCACTTCTGACAACCCTCTCAGGATCATCCAACCTGATCGAAAGATACAGTAAGGCACGTATAATGTTGTCTAATGGTACAATTTTGACCATTGATGAGGCATTTTATTCTTCGTGTTCCGAAAGAACATTGTTGAGCTTTAAGGACATTAGAGGTAATAATTATTACACTGAAAACCTATGTAGAAAATGGAGTTAAATTTATATGCATAACTTCCTACGAATATGACTAAAAGCGTTTTCTAGAAAAGATGAAGCGTATCCTGAGTGGTCTGTATACTACAACCATACGCCCCATAAAGAGCCACTATGTGGCCGGCCCTAACTCTAGGACTACACACAAAATTACACTTTGGCATGATCATTTGTGACACCCTGGACAAACAACGATACGCCGTATCCTTAAATCTTCACACGAGCATCTACTAACCTAAAGTTTACATTCGATTCAAGGAATTGCATGTCAAACCTACTCCATGGGAAAACTTATTATTAAGCCTTCTTATGACAAGATTCGTTCAAATCCTCCTATTTTTTCTACAAAGGATTTAGGGGCACATTTGTGGAATGATTCACCCTCCATGCGAACATTAAGATATTTTATGGTTTGGTTTACGCATCCACACATTGATCACACATGTGCTTGTTGTCCACAAGGAACGTTGCATTCTCTAAATTGTTGGCTCAGGTTATCAAGCTTAGGGCTCACCACCCTAATTATCTGATCAAATCTATTCGATTGGATAATGCTGGAGAATTCACATCTAAAACTTTTGATGACTATACATGTCAGTTGGGGTTGAAGTTGAACATCTTGTACCTCATGTTCACACCCAGAACGGTCCTGGCAGAGGCATTCATTAAGCACTTACGAATGAGTACTTGATTGTTGGTCATACGTACCAAGCTCCAGATCGTTGTTTGGGGCCATGCAATATTGCACACAAGCCATGTTGGTCTGCTTGAGCCCTGTTTTGACCCAACCATATAGCATAATTCAGTTGGTTATCGGATACAAACCCGACATATCGTATCTGCGCATTTTTGGTTGTGCGGTCTATGTGTCGATTTCGCCGCCATTACGTACAAAAATGAGACCTCAGTGAAGAATGAGAGTCTATGTCAGATATGATTCTCCTTCGATTATTCGTTACTTACAAGCCTTTGATAAGCAATTTATTTACCGCTCGTTTCATGGATTGTCACTTCTATGAGACAGTCTTCTTGTTGTTAGGGGGAGATAAGAACGTCAACGTTCCTGAAGAATGACACAAATTATCGTGGATGACTCCCACTTTGTCTAATTTAGATCCCTGCACCACTTAATTTGAAACTGAAGCGCAACGCATATTAGATCTACGTAGGGGAGATAACACATCCTCTACATTCTTCTACACAAACCCTAAAAACACATCTCTCTCTGCCGCCGACTCCCTTTCCGTTTTCAAATAAAATAGGCTACAACATGTTTTAATTTGATAACTTTTTTTCTATATATTTATAAAGATTTTCTTATTCAACAAAAAATTGAGCTTTTCTTTAATTACAAGGTTAAATTAGTAAATTTATATGCTTATTTTATTTTATTTTTTTACTTAAGGGGTTATATGAAAGGAAACTAAAACCTGAAAGGGTGTTAATATAATGTCTTAAACATGAAGTAAGTTTTGTGAAAACTCGATACCCTTCAGTGGGTGTGTGACATCCCACATCGCCCAAAGCGGACAATATCGTGCTACGGTGGTGGAACGGGTCTGGGAAGTGGTCCCCCTCGAGCTGGGATGTGACAGGGTGTTAGGGTAAATAACCCAAAATATATTTATGTCCATATTCGAGTTTTGTATACATCGAATATATATGTTTTCATTTTCGGACAGCGTATCATGTTGTATTGCTAGATTTTCAATTTAGGTTGACAGGGTCATATAGATATAGTTACCTTTTGGCCCCATTACAATAAATTCCCCAAAATACAACCGTTAGGTCGGTAGGATCATGCCACTTGTAACCTTCAGCAAGTGAAGAAAATCAACGACAGCCAATAAATTAAACGTACGTGACCATATCATATTGCCACGCATAAAGGGCTTTGCTCCTGCAACGGTAAGATAAGCCCTCGTTTGCCCTTATAAGTAAGCCACTCTTAGTAACTCATGCCCTCACCAGCTTCAGTTTCCATTCCCTCTCTATCTTGCTCCTCGATCTCTCTCTAAAAAATCTCTGCCTTTTTCTTCCTAAATTGCAGATCTTCGTTGGTGTTTGTGCATCTCAATTGCATCGCTTTCATATATTTGAAATATACATATATATAGTCACAGTATATATATTTGATCTGTTCTTTTCGTTTGGATCTTATTGATTAATTCTCCTCTCATGGAGTTTGGGAGATTTGTTTGGATTCAGATCTTGTTCTTTTCGCTGTGTTTGTGTTTGTGTTCAACTACACAAGGATACAAATTCTATGTTGGTGGGAGAGATGGGTGGGTGTTGAACCCTTCTGAGAACTACAACCACTGGGCTGAGAGGAACAGGTTCAATGTCAATGACAATCTATGTAACATCTCTTTCTTCTCTCTCTCTCTCTCTCTCTCGATCTCTCTCTCTCAATATTTTCTCTTAGGGTTTTTTCTGTCTGATCCATCTGATGTTGTTTTTGTTAACGAAAAATAATTTTCAGATCGTGTCTCCCAATTTTGATGATTTTCGTCATTTGAATATAAGCATCATTGTGTGAAAATTATTTCTCTTTTCGAATCCTTTGAACGCTACGACAATGTCGTTTTAGACATAAGCATAATACCAGCACATAAAACATGAAAAATCTAATTATTATTGGTTCACAACATCAAACACATAAAACATGAAAAAAAAATTAAATAATAGGGAAAATATATGGAAGAGATCCTAAATTTCAGTTATTTTTCTCTTTTTATCCGCCCTATATTTTAGGTCAAATTTTGTTGCTAATTTTTGTTTCCTCATGCCACGTGCACACATATACAGATTTCAAGTACCAGAAAGGGTCGGACTCAGTGCTCGTCGTGAACAAAGACGACTACTTCAACTGCAACACCCAAAACCCTATTCAGAAACTCGACGGTGGCGACTCAGACTTCACCTTCGACAGGTCTGGAGCTTTCTATTTCATCAGTGGTCAAAATGGTAATTGTGCAAAGGGTCAGAAGCTTCTTATTACTGTCCTCGCCCCGAGGCACCCCAAGCGACCAGTCCTCCCTCCTCCTCCTACTAGCCCCACCCCTACAGCTCCTGGCCCTAGCCCTAACACCCCTACAGCTCCCGCCTCCTCCCGCCACGTCTCCTCAGCAGCCCTACCAGCCTCCTGCGGCATCCCCACCACAAGGGCCAGGGCTACCACCAGCTGCAGGCCCAGTCTCTCCATCACCCCCACCTGTGATTACAAACCCTCCTCCATCTGCATCACCAGGCCCATGGTCATCACAACCGTCACCGTCGCCATCAACCTCCCCGGTACCAGCTGCCGGCCCAGTCTCCCCATCACCATCACCTGCGATTACAAACCCTCCTCCAGCTGCCTCACCAGGCCCATGGTCATCACAACCGTCACCATCGCCGTCAACATATCCGGTGCCAGCTCCCTCAATGACAACATCTCCGGTGCCAGCTCCGTCGTCAGGCTATACTCCAAGTACTTCTCCGCCCTCACCGCCCCCGGAGGGGCTCGCACCTACCCCTTCTGGCGTGCCTGAGGGGCCCACACCTACTCCGTCAAACGAGCCTGCGGGCCCCACACCTCCGGGAACTGTTACTTCTCCGCCGCCAGGGTCCGAGGAGTCGACTGCGCCGAAGCCGTCAAATAATGGAGCGTTACGTGGTGTAACGGCTCCTTCGAGTGTGTTGGTGTCTTTGGCTGTTCTTCTGATCAGTGTGGCTCTCTCATGAAACGGATTTGTGCAGGGTTGAAATAACGGGGGAATAAATAAATAAAGTTAGTGCAAGGTGTTTTTTTTCAGTTTGATGATTTATTAGGGGCTGTTTTGTTAATTAGTTAATTTTCTTTCATTTTTCATTTTATATCATAGAACTCAAGAGGGAATTGTTTCGTTCGGGAATTAATTCGAATTTGTTTTCTAGTTAAATCTGAGATATTATTTTGGTTTTGTTTTCTTTACTTCAAGTAAAACTTGATCAATTCATTCTCTACATAACCTTATTGTTAATTTCCATATTCAATATTTTCTTTGACTCCAGTGATGCAAATGACTTGGTGATTTAAATTTGAAAAGGAGCATGCACTACATAAATTGAAGAATTAATGTTCATCTTTTCAAAGGATAGTATTTGACTCTTTACATAACATTACGATTGGAACAATTTGTTTTATTTATTATTTTATAAATATTCGTTTAGAGATGATTCCTTGAACTTATTTGATTCATATTTATGTTTAAAGCTTTACAAATTAAAAAAAAAATTATATAGATATGACATTTGATTACACGATGATAAAGTGAATAAAAGGCTTGCATTATGACATTTATATAGAAAAATGGCTTCTTACATGTACAAAATCAAATAATGTCTAAGGGTTCAAATGAAAATGACCTCACACGTCCAATGAAGACCTTAGATGAGCAGCACTGTTATTTTTTTATTTTATTTTATGTTGATGTTGTAAGTAAGATCTAAATACTTTATTGTAATAATTATATTACATACATATATCGACATAAATAATATCTGGCCAATCGATAATGATCTAATTATAGCATGGTAGTCACTCCGAACGTAATTGTGGTTTTCGATTAGATTAAGTCGGTGGGTTGAGCTGCATGAATACTGGCCACATGCATTTTCAGTGTCAAAATTCCCCACCACATGCATAAATAGTAGTGAAAATTGAAGAATTTACGTAAAATGGATCACAATTTGACCATACACAGTGACCGACTACATGTATTGAAATTAAACATGTTTATTTGGTCAACGTGATAATGCTTGAGGTGAAATTTTTTTGGGAGGTAAATAGTTAATTGGGGCGTGAATTTCTCTGATCATTAAATCTTTACATTCTTTTTGTACTTTCCTTGTATATAATTTGTATATATTTGAAACGAAATTGCGTGTGTTAATTAAAATAGGATATTACGGACTGAAGTTCGTAATTTTAGATCTATGGCTCATTTAGGAGTGTTTTTAAAGTAACTAAAAACGTTTTTGATAAAAATATTTTTGGTACCAATCCTTAGCAAAAATATAAATGCATATTCGAAAAGCATTTAAAGTGATTCCTGCAAGAAGCAACAGTTATGTGATGCTTCTTGATAACTGTTGCTTCTTGAAGGAAGCACTTCAAGTGCTTTTGAAACCCAAAACATTTTCTCTAAAAGCACTTACAATTATTTTAAATGCACTTCCAAACAAGCCCCTAGTTTGCAAGGATTTCTCTGGGGTCCAATTGTTTTGGATATGTATTTGTAATATCCTTTTTCTGTAAATGAAATATCGTACTCTTCTTGAAAAGGAAAAGCTTTGTATACAGTGTGGTTTGGTTCATCACGAATTGACCAAAAAACAGAAAACAAAAGACCAAAACAATATGGTTTGGTTGGTTTTTCGATTTCATTTCTTAATTTTATACTAGACCGTAGTGCAAAGTGACTAATTTTCTTGATGGTAGGAACCAAATTTACATGAACTAGGGTTTAGGGTTTATGTCGCTAGGTATTCTACTTAATTTTCTATAATGCTTCAGAGTATCAGATATTTTGGACTTCTTAATCGTGAAATCTTTTTTCAATTTCATAAAAACCAATATCTAACAGATTAAAAGTCCAGCATAGTCTATACTCCGAGCACCATAAAATTTTTGTTATGTGATTAATTGCAAGTATCTCAGACGAATAGCTTCAAGGACTTTTCTAACCAGGAGGAGGAATGGGACCTGTCAAAAATTTACTCGACCAGTACTCATTTCATACTGGTTTTCGTCCCTACAATTGTCGTTGAGGGCATTTTTCATATGAATATGTGTGGCCATGGATGTTGAGACTACTGAACCTCAACCATTGACTGGAAGCTTTGCTTAGCTTTTACATTATAATTCATTTAGAGCAATAAATCAGTGACCTTTCGCTTTCAGTCGTGGAAAATCAATAAATGTTGCACAATTGCACGTGTCATAAATAATTGTCCTCATCACATTATCATATATTTTGTAGAATTTGACACCTTCTTTCTTCTATAGTAAATTAAATAAAAGTCCTAAAAATTTGGGTGTATTTAATTAATCAGGAATTTAAATGTATAAAAAAGTCTAGGTATGCGTCATGTTTTGATTTTATAAATTTTTAAAAAGTGCTGGATTTAGAGAGCTTCGTAGTGTATTTTAGTCTTTATAATTAACAAAATCAACTTCTCCCCCTATAAGTTTGAGGGAATTTTCTTGAAGTATACATTATATGTAACTCCATGAAAATTCTTTACAATCCAATTGAATACTATCTTACATATAAGACATGATAATATTGTATGAAACTTGTAGGTCTGTTGATTACGATTTACAACCCAACTTTTCATATCGATCGTTTTTAATTTTTTTTTTTTCACTAAATACTTTAGCATTTGATGGTCATTAAACTACAATATGATCTGAAAAATTCTTATTTATCTATGTAATTTAAATCAATAACTTAGAAAAATAAGAAATCTAAATTATCCTTCTTCTGCTTAAGGCCTTACAACATACATTATCCTAACATGGGCTTTCATTTTCATGGAATAGAGAGGTGATACCTGATTCATTTGCTTTTGCAATGTGTCGGCAAGAACTACAGAGAGATGTGATGGGTAGGGTAATGCTATATATATGTCCTTTGTCTATGTAGAGATGGCAACTAATGACGGTCCATGCATATGACAACTGGGAAGGTGAGTGATGTCAAATGCTTCTGTTCAACAAATATTATAATAAAGCTTCAAAATTGTGTATTTGAGTATATTTTTATTTGTATTGAAATTGGATTAATAATAAGACCTTAGATATTGTTTGATGTTTAATATTGGATTAGATTGAATATTTCATTAGATTAATGTGTGTTGAAGAAGAAATATAGATTAAATTGGATGTGTCACTAGATTAATGTATGTTTAAACAAGAAATAAATGTTGACTTTTGAATTTTGTCACTGAAGATAGAATGTTAGCATAAACACAACACTAGGATCATGCAAAACAAGTTACCGTGATCAAAACAAAAAACCATAAACCATAAAGCAATGACAGAAAGAAAACATACCCGCATAAGAGTTCAAAGTTGCTGCCATGCCTGATTTCTGCATCAAAGTCGTGGTGCACCTTCTCCTCTCTTCAGTGAACAAGACTCGATCTCAATTAATAATAGGTCTTAGTCTTATATCGAGTACTCACTGCGAGAGCAGATGCCACCATATATATACTATACAATCTAAGCCAAATTCTATAAGGATTCCCCTATTAAAATCCATATAGAATACCAATTCATTCCAAATAGTAGTCCAGTTACAACATGGATTTACAAATCCATTCCCAACAAGACTTCCTACTCAATCTCTAATCCTACAACCAAGTTTACCGATTCATACTCATGCTCATATTCTAACATAGAACACATACAAAATTCAAGCGAATGAGATTAGTCGAGTGGTCTTTTTTTTTAGCAGAATAATTCATGAAGGAAGAAGAGAGTCTAGTTGTCCTTTTGTTGAAATTAGATTAGGGTTAGGAACTTAATGTTAATGTGAACTTTTACCTGAAAGAGGATGCCACGCACGGTTCTCAAGTTAACTAAATAACATGTGTGTGTTATGACTCATAACTCCCTTAATTGCATTATAAGATCAATCATGATTCCTAACCACAGATTAGTACTCAATCCGTGTGAAATTTCTTTTCTTTAGGAGATGGGGTTGATTGGATAGTCCAGTCTACTACTATGCCGTCAGATCCTAAACCCTAAACCCTACATATGTTGTATGACCAATATAATTTGATCATACCCTTGATATATTAGTGATCCTTTCCTAATTTTTGAGCTTTTGATCCTAGCAATTGTCTAACATAATAATATCCTTTGCACAATATATCGAGTTCGATCTCCGTCTCCCATCTCTTTGTTAGTATGTTTGCATAGTTTAGGGTGAGACTATGCTTAACTATCTCTCTCCCACCGTTATGCCTCTTCAATGTAAAAGGAACCGAAAAATGACCAATCGAGGACGTAAGTTTGATATACGTTATTGGCCGGTTCTCTAACAACTTGAGTTTTTGGGCTAGTTATACTTTGCACTCCTATAATGCATATTTTGAAACCAGTGACAAGCACGTCTGTTAAAAGTTATTCTTTTGTTAGCCGCAAGATAGAAAATATCTATTGTAAAACCAAATTTGGTTTTGAGTGAATCATATTTGCCTGTTTGTCGATAATATTTTTGCTCACCACCCTTAAGTGATGGGATGCTCACCACCATATTTAATATTTATCACTATTTGATGAATTTAAGTTTTGAGATCTGTGTAATGAATGAACTTAAATCTCAAAATTTCAATTTAAGGAAACTAATGAGAAGTCTAAAAAAAACTTTTGTTTTAATGAAAAATAACAAATAAAGGTGTAGTGAATAGTATCAGGAAAAAGTAAAAATATGGTTTTTCGTTAAAAGTGAACAGTACCCTGAGTGTTTCGTTAAAATTCCTTTAAATTTATCCTATGATAACAAGTAAGATGGTGAATTAAAATGTCATCATATTCTGAACACCTTGCTAAAATGTTGGGACCAAACTTGATGTGTTTCAGTTGCTCATACCTTAAGCAACCTTCATTCAACATAGATAAAATACTATTTACGAAATAAATTTTCAGTTTTAGAGGAACAGTGAAAACCTTGGCCAAAAAGAAAACAGTACAAGTCAAGACGCCTAATGCACACGACACGTGGATACAGTGACTTGTTTTGCTCTTGACAGTTACCGTAGAGCGACGAAGAAATGAGAAACCGCTTAATCATACAACGTGTCTATCTAGTCATGCACGGATACATTATCATTGTGAAATTTCGTATCAATGATACAATGTTATGGATAAAAACTTACATAGAGTAATGTGTTATTAAAAAGAAACATCACAGTATACTAATATATGGAAGTTGCTCTCCTACAACGAAGAGAAAACTCTTGCATATGAGAACCCGTATGCAGCACCTCACAAACAAAATGTCGGCCTGCATGGTGGGATGCATATATAAAAGGCCCGTTTTTGCGTGAGATGTTCGTATGCTAGAATTTCTCCACAACAGGCTCATTCTTGTAATTAGCTTGTTGTTTCCATTTATCCAAATATGTTATGAGAGTAAGAATTCAACATTCGCCAATAACCATTTGGTCTAAGTGACACTCAATCTCCGATGAGGTCTCGAGTTCAATCTCATAGACAATAGTGGATAAAAGAAAACAAATACACTGAACTTTGCTCATCATAGATAAAAGGCTTATAAATTTCGGGATGCACCGTCAATATGACAATAGGCTACGCTAGTCATTTGCTCCTCATTTACATCAATCGGTCTCCCAATAGCCTCAAAAAAGGAATAGATTAAGCTGAGAGTTACAAGGGAAATAAACTAATAAAGAGGGCAGTGTAGCGACAAAATCATACAAAATGAAAAGAACAAGAGGCGATCTGTGGTGCTTTCCGGGTACAAAAATGGCTGAAATATCATCAAAAGAACCACCATCTCCATTGTCGGGTCCTCTGCAAGGCATGAGACAGAGTTACAGTATTGTCGTATACATAGATGTATACATCGGCATAAGGTGAAACCTCAATTTTAAAAACTACGTTTTCATAGATCAAAACCAATGCAGCATGAAAACAATGGGTTGAAAGTGAAACATGTGGTCCTAAGGTTCACCACCCGTGAACTAAGGTTGACAAAAGCTAATATTTAGAAAGCACTTTCTTCAATTTGTATGGAAACCCAAGTAGGATTCCAGCAGGATCTTAGACCTTTCATTTTACAGTTGGGATACCAACGGACTTGATAGTAAAGGGTGCTGGTACTGTGATTAGTTGAGGCAAAATAGCTTCACCAGTATTTAAACAGACTGCCGAACCATAAAGTTCTAAATGGAGCTATCTAATGGATGTTCAATAATGAAGAGAAGCCTAAATCAAGCATTACAAAACACGGAAAGCATCGTCCAAATAACACAAAGTTTGGACACGCTAGACTTCGTTAAACTTTGTATACGATTCCAGTACTACATGTCACAGTCAATTTTAACACTTCTATTACAATCTAAAGTCTAACTCGATTTTTATTTGAGAGTCGGATTGTAGCTAAATATAAGACACAAAATCAATCGCTATGATGCATTACACCACAAGGCATGCTTCGTTTAGAGACCAAATATCTTAAAGATGATGAGTCAGTACTGAAACAGCATGAAGTTGAGCATCATAAGCTGACAACAAATAGGGAAACTGGAAATATTCTGGAAAGAATATCCGAGTAGTAGGGCATTAGGATTCTTCCTCCTTTCTTGCTTGGATAATAGGATACTAGGATTCATCAAATAAAGCATGTTTGTCATTTTTTTTGTAATTTATACTCAGAATCAATGCTCGCCAATAGCTAATAAAAGAGTGAAAAGGGAAAAGTGGTAAAACCTTCTGATTCTGATCTGGTGATTGTAATATAATGGGCTGGGAGAGGGTCGTCCCACCGTCAATATTCTGCATGTACGGTCGTACCTTCCTCCAACATCTCATTCAACTGACCATCAAAATGGATATATAATGTCATTGCTCTGAAAAACAATGTTCATGGCTAAAAATGATCACTGGAAAAAATGGCCTTCATAGTTGTTGTTATGTGCCTCTCATATGAAATTTTATCTATGATATTCTATTTGCTTCATTTCCTATACGTTTACTAAACTCATTAAGAAATAGAAAGGGCAAAGCAGGCTGTTCGTTTATTTAGCTACCTAACATTATTAAGTTACTAACCATTTCTTGACGCCATCTAGTCTCCCACTGCGCATCCAAAATTTTGTCACCTAATTCTCTTTGAGCATTTAGAAGAACGGTCATTTCATAGAATTTTTCAGGGTTTTTGAGGTCCTCCTTGCTCCAAGAAGATGTATTCAACGGAAGGTCCAGTTCCTGCCATTGCCCTGCTCTTAGTTCATAATTATCCGAAGTACAGTGAGCATCTTCCTTTTTCTGCCTGGTACATTTAATACTTAGACTAATATTATAGATTGAAGATAAATTGCTTACTGTGGAGCAAAATATAATCAAGAGGCAACATGTGGATTTTTAGGTGAAGAGGATAAAATTACCCTCGAGACATACCAGGTTTCCTACACGCGAGCAGTGGGGAATCATCCATCAACCGAGTCAAGAGTGCCCAAAATAGGTAACAAGTTCAAATTTATCTCATCCATCTTTACTTCATATCCTCTACAAGGAAATCATTCCATAACCTTCAAAACTTTCAACATAAATTACATAACCTCCAAAATATTCATTCCAAAAATGTTTTAATTGGCTAATTAATGGATTAATTACCTAATTAATCCATTAATTGCCAAATAACTCACACATTAAACCACAAAATGCACACAAAAAGCATCCCAAAGGCCGGCCACCTTTTCTCCAAAGGGAACCGGCCATGCCCTATAAATACTACCCATTTTTCTCCATTTCTCCAAAGGGAACCGGCCTACACCCAATTTGTGGCCTTGGTGGAGGATCAAGTTTCATGACTTCTGTTTCAAGGGCCTTCTTCGCTTTATAGTAAGAAATTTTTTTCACAATAACAGGATCTTCCTTGGCTCGAGCAGGATCTATGGAGATCAAGACCTATCAATGATGAGCAAATTTATATCAAATATCTTTCTCAAGAAACAAATTACAGAAAATTGCAGAAACAATGCACTCTTAAAAATGTATGAGAGTTCGATTATCAACATATGAATCCAGATTTTGAACAAATGGAAATGTTATGAAGCAGATGGAACTCAAATGTTCCCTCAGTAAGAACAAAATTCACAATAGACTAGTCACTGTTATATGACATTAAGAGCTGAAGCTTACATTAAGGTTTTTCTCTTCTACAAATAAGAAAAGAAAGAGTTGTTAAAGAGAGACCAAAAGGCCAATAGTGGAACCTTAAACTTGTTTCCAATAAACTTTTCGAGAGATGAAGTGGATTTTTTCAACTAACAATACAAATACGAAAAAACCAAGCTCATTAGCTCAATGTTCCACAGAAGTGGTTATTATGCACAGAAATTTTCTTACTTCGTGCAACTGCTCCCAGCCAGGTTTTCGCTTGGCCACCACATCACGAAGTTGATCGTACAGCATAGATTCCTGAACCAAGCATCTTCTCTAGCAAGACTGGCTATCTTCAGACACAACCAAATCATTATCATTCAAAAGTTTATAGATCCAATGCGAGACTGGCTATCTTCAGACACAAAGCATCTTCTCTAGCAAGGCCATGCCCACAACAGTCACCAAATAACACACTGCCCTTCTGAAACATATTAAAGCAACTCCAACTATTACAAGATTAAATCAACTAATGTATTGAGAACACTACAAGTAGTTGGAACTATCAATTGCTGAGGCCAGTTCACACATTAGTGTTGAATTATGCATCGCAGTGAAAGTGAAGATCTAGTTGGAACATTCAGAGTTTCAGATCAATGTAAGACATAAAACAATATAATTTCAAGCTTTATAAAACCAAAAATAGCTCACATCATCTGCAGAGATTCTGACTTGTAATTTGTCCTTGCACTCCGTACAGTCATCACACCCTGCAATACAGTATATATTTCATGTCAAGTTTATGACTGCAGATCTTCAGTTCTGTGAGATGGTAACCCGCATGATTTGGATAAAATTACTGATTATGAGTATGATATAGTGTTAAATATATGTAAGTACGTCAACTTTACTTGGGGCCAAAAGGTTTACCGTGCCATCACGGTTGGGCACTCTTTAGATGGCAATGGCGCATCAAGATTTATGGCGGATGGAAGGTGAACCAACTCAGCCCGATTATCAGCAATGGCATCTGCAATACATTCAGCTGTTGCTTTCTCTCCACTGCATAAAGATTCACGGAGAAATAAAACACATGAAGATAATATCATGTTGGTGGTTGAATAAGGACTCACTGCATGACAATATTTATAAACAATAACCATTAAATAGACGAAACATACTACAAACAAAAGATAAAAATAAAATGCTCAACTAATCCAGCATTAACTACCAACCTCAATTGTCTGAAACTATGGTAACAAGGAGAAAGAGTGAAGCAGAGCTGTATATAGTTTCAAAAAGCATATTGCAGCATGTTAATTTGTTTCTGAAATGCTATTAACGCCCACTTTTAGTCAAACAGAAGAGACTTTTTAAGAAATATTTGCCTAGAAATATAATAAATTCCAGCATTCAAATGGACTCCTATTTTTAGAATGACAGCCATAGTTTGGTTTTGAAGGACTATACTATGAGACCCATAAGGAGCAGTAAAATCTTCTTATCGGGTTCATATCACAGATTTTGGCAACAGACTGGAGATTTTTTAGCCCATTCTGGGACTCAGTAGACATATGTTATTCAAAATTATAGCACAACTTACAATTTTTTCCAACAGATGTTTGGCTCGTTAAGACTTCAAGAATAATAGTTGTTGAATCATGCATCCTACAGCTCCATTTTTACTTAAATATCTTTTCACTTTGTAACAAATAGGAATACATTATAACTCATAGAGTTACCTGTTTTCCAGACATAGAGGTACAAAATCTAAATGAAGGAAAGTCTACCTTCTCGAGGTGTAATTCTTCACTTGGTATTGCACCCTCCCTGATCCTCTGCACATGGTACACCGCAATGCCTGCCAACCATTGCAGGTTCCGCAGTTCCTGCACTTCAAGAGTGTAGTTAAGAAATCATCCAACTTCAATAAACTATGAACCTAGTAATGTCATCAAGTTCACCAAGGAAAAATTCACAGCTAAGATTCTTTTACACCTAATTTGGCAGCTTAGAGAGAAACCATCATTAGTACCATGGTTTAAAAATATTAATATACACATAAAACGTTCTACATTGTTGTGTGCAAATTACTAGCGAATGATAGAGAATGATAACTAGCACAACAAAAGTAGTACACTACAAAATTATAGAAAGGCATCACCTTTATACAATAATACATATAAGTTTCATTTTCTACTTAGTTTAACATGTTTTCCGTTAGATGATCAACTACAGACACACAAACATATATATACACACACACACGAATATATACATGGATATATATAGTGCAACTACAAACGATTACAGTGCTAGACACTGTAATATCAAGCATAGAAAATAAACATAACTAAAGATAAGGAACACCGTGAAAATTGAACGGATAAATTACCTTTGGCATATCACCTTCTTTCCCATCTCTAATGCTATGTCATAAGTCCCTAAAGTAGCAACTGCCTGAATCATGAAGAAACCCAAACAGAATACACGACTCAGAATTATGCAAGTTCCCAAGAATAGTAGCACCACCACATAACCTACGTACTTGACTAAACTACAAATGCAATTCAACTTGCCATTCACCAATTGATTCTACATTCACTGCCACAAAAATTCACACAAACCCCAATCACAATTGAACAAAAACCGATCTACCCAATTTTTCAAATGACACAAACCTCCCAAAATAACTGTTAATTTCTACCAAAATCCAGTCTTTATACCCGAAAACTCGGAAAACACCAAAAACACCTATGCAGATACCTAGTAACCCACAGAACCCAGTAAAAAATCCCACTAAAAAGTTAGAAAGCAGCTAAATTATCAAACTTTACAGAGACAGAAAAATTCCCAAGTGATAAAATTTGTGGATACAAGAGCTCACAAAGATTGACATGTAAGATAGCTTGGAAACCAACTCGGGAACGCCAAAGCCACGATGAGCAGAGCCGGCAATGTCGAAAGCAAGAGTGAAAGGAGAGAGGACAAGCTTGACAGGGAACTCGAAAATGTCAATGAGCTGCTGGCCATATTTTTCTGTGAAGATTTTGTATTGAAAGTCAGCGAACTTCTTGACGTTCTTCAGCATACGGCCTTTGCCTGACATGGTTGGATGAGGGGAGGGACGGATGGATATTTGGTTTTGTATTTTGCAGAGGTTGATTTTTTGGTTGGAATTGGATGATGTACCGCACACTGGGAAGATATGTATATAATCTCATGCACTGCGGTTAATGTCTCTACATAACTACAACCAAACGACCCGCTATTACATTTTGATATTATGACACGACAAGCGAATAATAATTTATTTCGAAGTTACAATTAAGTTAAATCATACAATGTGTTAATCATAATAATATAGTGAACTAGTTATTTAAGGAAGTCGAACTTAAGACCTAATTTTGAATACAATAATATGGTAAACCATCACTCTAAATAGAAGCCTCTACCCAATCATAAAAGGTTTCGGTCCTAGCTTGGACCAATTATATATAGAAATAAACTCTATATTGTAATAGGTTATAGTTCTTCTTAGTCTCGTTTGAAGAACCTTCTTCCACATCGTAATAACTATCGATAAGTCCAAAAATATGCAATGTTACAAATAAAAATTTAAGATTAAATGAAATATTTCCAATAAGTTATAAGGAACAATGATTTATCCTTTTGTGTATTTTTAATGATGGGAAAGAAGGCTCTAGGTCACAGTTCTTGAAAAATGCTTTTTGAAAGTTCTAGCATGATATATATATATAGTTTATAACTCTGCCATGCCATAGGCAGAAAAACGTGTTAAAGGAGATCATGTTACGTATTCAAGTATTTGAATGTTAAGATGGTTTGCTAGGGTCTTCGTACCTACTATGAATTGATAAAACTTTCCCCATTGCACTCACTAGCAGCCTAGGTCCTTTAGGAAATAGATTCTCTCCATATCTTCTATTCCAAAGCCTAGGAATCAAGTGATCCATATCTTTGAAATTTGATTCTACGGTCAAAAATTATTGTAGCTTTTAAAAGTTTTTACTAACTTTCATGTTTTTAGTCGTTAATCAAATTTCAAAAATCCAAATCACTTAATTCCTGAACTTTAGAAAGGAAGATAGGAGAGAATTAATTGAAAAATGCAAAAATAACAAAATAGACTTTGCCCAATCACAATTCACATTTCAGTCACCGTCTGGTAACAGAATACAGACTTCAGTCAGAACCTTTGAACTTTCTCATTCTTTATTGCTTAGGCTTTAACCTAGTATGAAGCACACCACCAATCACAGATTCTTTATTGCGTAGGCTTTAACCTAGTACCGAAGCACACCACCAATCACAGTTTCTCTCTCTAGCTAGACCAGCAATGGCAGTGAACGGACTGAAACTCGGTACGACGTCGCAGGCCTACTTAGAAGGCAAAGCAGTGAGCGACACCAAGGCTCTGATATCCGATCTCTGCCGCCAATTCTACCATCTCGGATGGGTCTCAGGAACAGGTGGCAGCATCACAATCAAAGTTCACGATGACTCTGTTCCGAAGCCCGAGCAGCTTGTAGTCATGTCTCCGTCTGGTATATCTCACTCTCTAAAATAATTTTGTTCATTTTTTTGGGTTTTTGGGGTTTCTGGGTATTCATGGATTTTCACCAATTTAGTCTCTGTTTTGTGTGGTTCTTTTGGTTGTTTGCTTTCTGGGTTTTTGTAATTTATGCTAAATGTTGAGTCTTTTGGCTCTTCTGTGTTGTTTGGTATCTGGGTTCGTATTATTAGAATTTAATTGTGGGGTTTGTGTTGATTAATTTCTGTAATTTTTTTATGATGTGCCTATGTTTTGATTAAGGAGATTTCATTGTAATCGTGGTTGGTTTTTCGCTTGTTAACATTTGGTTGATTGAGGATATGCATCTTTGAAGCTTAAAGGCAAAATATTGTTTGCTTTTTGGGTTTTTACTCTGTGCTAAAGAAATTGGAGTTTCCTAATTGGAACTGTGGGTCCATTTTCAATATGTGACCTTCTATTTTGTTTCTGGGCTCAATTTTTCATGTTTTTTTTTTCTCTGTGTGCAGGCGTTCAGAAGGAGAGAATGGTACCGGAGGACATGTATGTGTTATCTCCGAATGGATCTGTCTTGTGTTCTCCATCTCCGAAGCCGTACCCACATAAGCCTCCCAAGTGTTCTGATTGTGGTCCACTTTTTATGAAGGTTTCAATTCCTTGTGCTTCTTATAAATACTATAAAATTCTTGTTGGAAGAAAGTGTGAATTAGTTCCAACTAATGTTTGATTTGGATAAATCAGTCAGAACATTTTAAAACTTTGAAATGACTCTTCTCCAGTTTTGTACATTTACAGTTGATGTCTAAATATGTGATTATGGCATTAATGAAAACTTCTGAGGTTCTTTTAATTTTATACACTGTATAAGCTGGGTAACAACTTTGTTGGCACAATGGAGTGGTACTTCTAAGTTTTAGCTCTCATAGAATACAATATGAAATCTTAGTTTTACAACCAGAGTACCTTTTCCAGAGCTATTGGTTGTGGCATGCTAAAGCCGCTGGCCAGGTGGGGACTGTAGTTCCTACCTGCTCCAAATATTGAAGATGGTAAAAGAAATTTGATCCATTATCTTTTCCCACGTTTCATTAGCCATCAAAATAATCACTTTGGAAGACTTGATTGCTTATGACTATTGGATCCCTATCAGAATAGAGCCAAGAGGCAATTGATTTCGCAAAGAGAAATGTCAATGAATCTCAGTTACTAGGTACAATGCAGATCGATTTGAACCTTACATGACTTTGGATGTAGAGGGTCCTAAAGACTCATCTGAATCATGTCAAGTTGGAATATTGGATAGAAGTCTGGAATTTAGTCATGGGCCGAATTTGAAATCTTCTTATCTAAAAGAAAAGAAAAGAGAAGTTGTACTTTGTTGATACTCTGTAGCGGCATGTGAGCTACCATCTGTATAAGCTATTTCTCTTTGCTCAAACTATTTATTTCACCATCATTAAGTAAAAAATGTGGCCGATGCATTATTGTGGTTCCATTGTTCCATATTTGATGTTAGTGACCTCTTATTTATGAGTTTTCTTTTTGTTTGTTAGTTCTGGATACATGTTCTAACTAATGTTGAGCAAGTACTACTTGCTATATTTTAAGGCCGGGTTGCTTCTTGAAGGCACTTCAACTGCTTTAGACATGTAAATTTGACTAAAACATTGTTTTAACCTTGTAATGCGATCCATTGATACTGTGTCTGTGTTTTCTCATTCCATTTTATGACAAGTCCTATTTGAGGATGCTGGGGTTCATGAATACTCACCATTAGTTTAATTTTTGGGAAGACTGACACCTCTCTTATGAAAATTCGTAGTTAATATTTATTTCCCTTGTTTTCCAGGCATATGATATGCGTGATGCAGGAGCTGTTATTCATAGTCATGGGATGGAATCTTGTCTTGTAACAATGATCAATCCATTAGCAAAAGAATTTCGAGTAAGTTTTTAATCCTAGCCTCCATTAGTGAGGAATAAAGGAATTGCTAATTGATAAATAAACACAGGGACCTGTTGTTTTTATTCTTCTGTCAATGTCCTATTTTTTTGTCCGAATTTTTATGTTTGCCTCCCCCTGCTTGAAAATTTGGATATTTCTTCATTTAATTGACTCCCGCTTTGAATGAGAGTTAAAGCAGGGTATGGATTTCAGAAATTTGGGTAGTTCAGAACTTAATGTTGCAGTGATTTGTAAAAAAAAACACGTGCAAAATAATGGCGTGCATGCTTTTCAGTTTTTTTACTTTCTTTTTCAGAGGGGGGGGGGGGGGGGGCGCGGGGGAGACAACTGTGGGTGTTGCCCTTTCTCTATGTGATATTCCTGCCTACTGTTACTGGTTGTCTGTTTTAATGGTTTGTGTTCCTATTTCTGTGTACAAATATGCAGATCACTCATATGGAGATGATTAAAGGAATCAAAGGGCACGGTTATTATGATGAGCTTGTGGTCCCTATAATAGAGAACACTGCCTATGAATATGAACTCACAGAGTCTCTTGCCAAAGCTGTACGTTCCTGTTTTAAACTCAATTTGGTTTTGGTGTGATGATTCTATCCGCTTTCGATGACATAAAGCTACTATTATGAACTGATGGACTCCAAAGCTAGTATTATGATGGACTCCATCCTAGTATATGGCTGTTTAAGTTTATGCATGACACAGTTATGTACTTAATTCTTTGTCATTTCATATTGTTAGCTTTGCTAATGGATAAGATTTTTTGATTTCAAAGTAACTGTTTGATTGTTATTGGAAGAAGAAAAAAATCAATATATGAAACTTTGAATTTCTATGTGGATGAGTATTTTGCTTGCCTTCATGTCCAATAGATTGAAGCCTACCCGAAAACAACAGCTGTGCTTGTTCGTAACCATGGGATCTATGTCTGGGGTGACTCGTGGATCAATGCTAAGACTCAGGTGATGCTTATGATGCTAATGGTTAGGCAGTCAGTGTAATTATCGAAGCTTATGTTAACTGTTGATACAGATGGCTAACATATGGATCTGGAAGAATGGAGCCTTTTATCCTGATGCTTATTCAATCAGATTTTTTTCTTTTCCAGGCTGAATGTTATCACTATCTCTTTGAAGCTGCTATCAAACTTCATCAGTTGGGTTTGGACCCAACTACTCCAAACCATGGCCCTATACAACAAAATGTCAAGGGAGTTTTAGAAAGTGGTATTCACAGAAATATATCTGTGAAGGCAGCGACTGCAGCTTCAGATAATACATCTGAGCCGTCACAAGTAAGTTTATTTTTTTTTTTTTTTTTATTTATTTCTCAGGTTCTGAAACTTTTAGTATCAGGCTTTGAAGTCAACCCTAGTTTTCTGTTTCTTTATATGTTTATTTCGTTTTACTGCAAATATTGTCTTTTGGTTGAGAAATGTTATAGTTAACAATTTCATGGTTTTTTGTATAAGCTTATATTTCTTCCTTCTATTTATGGATTTCACTTTTTCTGTAGCGTTGCATTGTTCTTGACATTGAGGGAACTACTACTCCCATATCGTTTGTGACTGATGTTCTCTTTCCATATGCCCGCAATAATGTTGGAAGGCACTTGTCTGCAACATATGACACTGAAGAAACTCAAGATGACATAAAGTTGTTGTGTATCCAGGTAAGTTTTTTGTTCAAGAATCAAGAGTGCTGTTTTGTGGACTGCACACCTGTAAAATCACATTAGTATTCAGCTGTTAATTCTGGGTCAGTAGTGCACCACATGACATGTGAATGCACCATGCCACTGATTTACAACATGATAATAGTATTGCTTTAGAATTAAAGTAGTCCTTTTTACTTTCATTGCTATGAAAAGAAATGATTTTGTTTTTATTTTTATTTTTTTATGCAAGTAATTAATCTTTTTGATAAGAATGTGAATCCTATTAGTTTGTACTGAGCAAACCACAGTTTAACCTTATAATCCTTACCATAAGTTCTACCCGAAAAATGTATAGAGCAGAGTTGGACGGCTCTGGGCTCAGGCTAGCAATTTAATTGCTCTTTATTTAAGGAGTTAAATTTAGAAGTTAACTGGAAGATCATAGAAGTAAGCTGGACACTTTGAAATGATCCTTAAAGTTCTACATCCTAATTGTAGGTTCAAGAAGACCTGGAAAAAGGTGTTGCTGGTGCTGTTCCCATCCCCTCTGATGATGCAGGGAAAGAGGAGGTTGTTGCAGCTTTGGTTGCTAATGTTGACTGCAATGATAAAAGCTGATCGGAAGATCACTGCCTTGAAACAGTTGCAAGTAAGCAATTTTGGATATTTAGAAGGAATTTACTTGCTACATTTTGCGTATCTTTTGGGATATAGCTGACTTCTAGCTATTCAGGGTCATATCTGGAGAACTGGATATGAAAAGAATGAATTGAAGGGAGTAGTTTTCGATGATGTACCAGAAGCTCTTAAGAAGTGGCATAATTCAGGCATAAAGGTGCGTGCATGGTCAAGATATAGCTAATCAAGCTGTTAATGTTTCCGATGTCTTTGGTTCATATGCTAACCAAACAAATTAGAGTTAATTCATTGGTGAAGTTGATGTTAATTCCTCGATGTCATACCTTCAATGTTGAAATTTTGTACGGCAGGTCTACATATACTCTAGTGGTAGCAGGTTGGCACAGAGACTTATATTTGGTAACTCAAATTATGGGGACCTAAGAGAATATTTGTCTGGATTTTTTGACACCACAGTGGGGTAAATTAACTCAGAATCCTTTTCTACTGTTAAAAAGTGCTTTCACTTAACATTAACATGTTCTGCTTCCAGCTTTCCAAATTCAACTCAAGATAGCTAATCTCTCTCTCGCTCTCACGCAGAAACAAAAGAGAAAGTAGCAGTTATGCTGAAATTGTACAATCAGTTGGAGTTGATAAACCATCGGAGGTTTTATTTGTGACAGATGTCTTTCAAGAAGCTGTAGCTGCAAAGGCGGCAGGTAATGATTTGCCTGTGGTTTACCCCCACCCCTATCGAGATGTTAAATGTAGCCGGGTTTTATACACCCTCTTCTCGCAACAGGGGTCACTTGACTAGCACGTGACCACTTACTGTGAGAGGATGGTGTATACACCCGGTTACAGGTCGCTAGACACTTTTCTACCCGTTCTAGTTTATTGTTGCTCCAACATAACAAAAGTAAAAAGTAAAGAAAGAAAGAAATTAAAAAAGATGAACGAAACTGATCAAACAAAATTCAAAATTTTTATGGCATTGATGTTTAAGATGCACTTTTTTATTTAATGTTTCAGGATTGGAAGTTATTGTATCGATCCGACCAGGGAATGGAGCTCTACCAGAGAATCATGGTTTCAAAACAGTCACTTCTTTCTTGGAAATCTGAATTTGTACTTCTCCGTAAACATGTAACACTATAAATCATATGAATAATTATAAGAATAAAACATGTAACAATATAGTCAAGTTTCGAGGGGCGTAACAAAAAATAAATCGTTTAGTAAGGTGAGTAAAAAAGATATGACAAGTTGAGCGGACGTAGAAGTATCTTTTATTTGAGTTAATTACACTTTGTAACATTGTAGTGTGGGTATGTGACGGTTTAGTTCCCATTTTAGAAAAATAGAGATGAAAACAACCCCAAATCTTCGGATTTTTAAGCCGCTCGGCCGTTCGTACCTCTTATCAATTTAAATCAACTTACATGGCAGTGATTGAAGGTTAAAAGTCGAATTTCTTTCCTTTCAATGGTTGGAAGGGCCACCTTAGTCCAAGTGGTCGCCCCTACAATACCTTAGTCCAACCAAGTTTCCTACTAGTTTATGTGTTTATCTAGACAAGTCGAACAAAAACTTCTTTTTAGGGGACTCTGAGCAGAAAAACATATTCATTTACAATTGGAGCATTGTTTGCAGACCTAAGTGCATTGAAGGTGTGGGATTGAAGAAAACAGCAGAGCTGAATCAAGCTTTGTTGGCTAAAATTGGATGAAGAATTCATGCTAAGGATACATGCCTTAAAGTAAAAATCTATGAGAAGAAATACAAGGGAGCTCTATTTGGATACTAAACTACATGAGAAGTCTGACTACTCTTACACTTGAATTATGGAACTGATTTGTTGCGCAAACGTATGAAATGGAGAATTAGCACATGTGATGGTGCCAAGTTTTGAAAAGACCATTGGATGTTGCATGCTCCTTTGATTAATTATATTGATTCCAATAACTTTCCTAAGGAGGATTTCTCAGTCTCTACTTGCTTTCATGATGGTTGTGAAAGAAGGCTTCTTTTTTTTATTGGTTTAGGAGTTGGACTGTCAAAATCCCTTCCAAACAAGTTTTTCCTTCGGCTCATTGGTCAGGGCAAGCTGCTTACTAATGAGCAAAGAACTAAAAGAAATCTAACCACCCATTCCTCTTGCAAACTTTGTTCTTGGCCATTGGAGACATTATGTATATTCTAAAGGAATGTAGTAGAACTCAATGCATTTGGGAAATTTTGTGTGATCCATCTCAAATGCACAATACTTTTAACTTAGATTTGAAAGCTTGGATGAAAACTAATGTGATGTCTAAGGCAATGTGGTTTGCTAAGATAGCATGGAATTGTTTGTTTTTGCATGTTGGTATACCTGGAAATGGAGCAACCACCAAATTTTTTAAGTAAACTTTTTCCTCCCTACTAATCCAAAAATGGTTATTGTTGGAACTGCCTATGATGGATGGAATCTCTTCTAAAAATTGAAAAACCACCTCATAGGATGCATGTTATGCTGAAGTGAGAGCCTCCTGTTATTTGAGCACGATCGGTGTTGGAGGAATTCTTCCGTAACCACAATGGTGATTGGATGTGAGGATTCTCTATTAATTTAGAGGAATGGCAGATTATCGAAGCTGAAGTTTGGGGTTTATACTTCAGGCTCTAGCTTGCTATTGAAAAAGGTATATCTAAATTAATCATCGAAATGGACTTTGCTCCTGCTGTGTTACTAATGAGCCAATCTATGCAAGATACTTTCATCCTCTCACTACGCTTTTGAAGAGTTGCAAGGATATGATGAGACAAATTGTGCAATGTGAGCTAAAACATGTTTTTAGGGAACTGAATGGTTTTGCAGATCAACTAACCAATTGGAGTTACAATTTGAACTTTGGTCTTTAGGTTTTTGAGCTTCCTCCCCAATGGCTTCGGCAATATTTAACGGATAATCTTGTAGAAACTCCTAAAGGCCGCTCTATTCATATTAGTGACGTAGTTTAGTTTGGTCTGGGGTGTCTTCACCCTCCTTGGTCACCTAAAAATAGGTCCATCGTTGTTTTTGGACCAATTTTTCTCATGACACGAACGTGAGGTTAAAAATCATAAGGTCACAAATAAGAAGTTTTTATAAAGAAGAAACGCTTATGTTGCATCAATCTGTTGTCCATATAAGTAGACACGATACAACCAAATGCCACGCCAAAAACCTCTCAAAAAACTAGTACTTAACCTGATAGTCAAACGGACAAAAAGGTCAAAGATGTAACAATTTGTAATGTCAGGATTTTTTTTTTTGTTCAATTTTAAAACGGGTGGTGCTACATGCATCAAGTTTATGCATTAGATTTGTGCACCAAATGATATGGCACATTCTACAATATATAAATATCCATTACAATCATAAATTAAATTTTAATTTTAATTAAAGAACAAATTTGATTGGTACCACAATAGTGCAAAAAATTGATTTGCCTAACATTATCCTTTTAAAACATATCAGACCAAACAATTAGATGTTGCAATATGTAACTGAGCCTTTTTTTTTTTCTTGAGGCTGGCATGTTTCCCAAATTTGTATTAGCCACCTAAGTTTTTCTTTGATAAATATCAAGATATCCAATTTCCATTAAAATCCAAAACTGGCTCAACAATCCAACAAAAGCAAGACTACTTGTCAATTTAAAACAGGTAGATAAAAGATAAAATCTTCATGCATCATCAACTTGCAAAAAATAAACAAAAAAGAAAGAACTTTGGCGGTTTTTCAGTTCAATGCACCTACTTCTTGGGCACGCCGCACACACTATGACAGAAATTGAGTGTTAAAAAGGAAAAAAGAAAAAGTCTTAACATTTTCTCTGCAGCTTTAATCTGCTAATTCAAATTGTACTTTAATTTTTTGCTTTCTTCCTCCTTTCGTTCTCAAGTGTCATAAGAGTAACAGAAAGCCCCACTTTCTGGTTTCTTGCTTTTCTTTCTTGCATCTACACGTTAAGAAAGTTGTTATTCTTCCCAGTCAACTGAGTCGACATCTCAAACATTACAAACTCATATTTATATGGGAAAGATAAACATACAGAGAAAGAATGTCTGATTGTCCAACCCTAAATTTATTTCCCTTGTTGTATATACTGCATATTATTTCATCATATGGTAAACTTGTACATAAACGGAAAAAGCCTCTAACGATAAAAATCCCAATACTTTTCCTTTCATGTAAATTGAAATGAAAGTTGGAGGGAAAAGTCTCCACGATGAGGTTATTGGGAGCAGAAATGACAACTACACGCCCTTTCTTCTTCTATACACTTATATTTAATCATGTTCGTTGTTTACGTTTGACTTATTCAATCTGAAAAATAAAAATAAAAAAAAATGTGAAAATCTAAATATGATGTGTAAAAATCAGCTCTCTATTGAGATATAGGCTCATATAGCAGTTTACTCTCACTATCACGAAAGAAACCCTCGTTGCGTGTAAGTTTATTTTATTTTATTTTTCTAACAAAAGCTATGTTCTTCATATGTGAGTAATACCACGAAAGAAACCCTCCATCGGTTATTTCAGACAAGGTTTTAATAAGATAAACTCTGAAATACGTACAATAATCCTTGAATTACATGTATCTGACAAATGAGTGTTGCCTATATTTTGAGCTATTTGTACAAAGCAAAACAAATAAACTCATGTAATTCGAGGATTTGTGCAGCACGAAGCATACTAAGCCTGCATTAATAAAAAAAGGACTTGTGCGCTCAATCCTCACAGTGAGTTTGAGTAATTGATGCATTGTGATTATAAGAAATGTCAAGGCTTACGTCGCATGCATGCGTAGACAACTAAACGTAGCATAATACACCGAATATAAATGGCTTCTGACAACTTTGTACTATTTCTTCAACAAAAATAAGAGTCAATATTTTGGGTTTTAATCATGTTTTCCCTCTCCCCAAAAATCTCTCCTTAAGGAAAAGAAAAACGATATTTTCTAGATCATACTACATTGAATTGTTTTGTGAGTTGCAAAATATATGAGTACGGTAAATATACTAGAAAAGTCATTTTCGCATCTTATTTTCTCTTCCCGCACTCTTTTCTTTTATCTTTGGTTTTTAAATCGAATACGTAAAAGAAAAATAAAAAGAGAGATATAGAAAAAGAAGTGGAGAATGTTCGAAATCACTACTATTAATGCATTAGCTAGCTCAACAATTTCAACAGCTCACAGGTCACGAACAACATGACCATATGGTTAGGTGGAAGTTTCATATATGTATGGCCTTAGATTAAACGGGAAATGTGGTCCTCCTCACTCCTCAATGGAGGGGGGGACCCTAGAAGAACCCTTCAACAAGTTGAATCTACTCTAAAAATGTACCAATTAAATTATAAATTCCAAATTACATATCCTTGACTCTGGTTAATTTATGAGTAAAACTTAACATGTGACGAAAAACAAAAATAAATAAAATTTAACAGTAATTTCTTTTATTGCAGGCCTAAGTTTTAACCGAGTTAGTAAGAGTAGTGTGCTACACTTTCTGTACTTAAATTCGAATCTCCTTCTCGTAGTTTAAATGAGCTTAGTGTAATTATAAAAGGAAAAAATAACTGAAACTTCTTATTGTTGATTGTCCACTCCAACAGCCACACCCTCATCTTTTGAAAAGTCCTCTCCCACCACACACACATGCTGAGAAGAACAAAAGAAAATGCATTTTGCAATTGAATGAAATGCTAAACTAATGAAGTGGTAAAATTAAAATTCATATTCCCATTCATATATGCTCACTCAGATTCCAATAGAAAATTGATTTTCGATGTTCCTTAATTTGGTTCTATAGAAATTTAAAAAAAAAAAATAAAAAAAAAAGCCATAAAAGTTGCAAAACAAAAAATAAAGGAGAAAAGAAGTTGGAGGAGGAAGTTGAAGGCTAAAGCTTTTTAGCATTTTTATGGAAGAGATATGAAATTGTACAATTAAAACAAAGATCTGTACCTGTCATTGAAAAATCATCCAAAACCCATTAATCTTCACTTCTCCTGACGATCATTTTAATCAAAACCCACTCACAGTAAATATTACTTACTACACATCTCTCTCTCTCTCTCTCCTCGTCATTTGATCAAGAAGACGACCCAGAAACTCTCGGCGAAGTGACCGGAAACAGAGGCAGAAGCCGCGGCTCCGGGTCTCTCAGAGTCGTCGTAGCCCTTGGCGACGGGTGCAAGTAAAACCCTTTCTCCGCAATCGCCCTGTCCTCCTCCGACGAAGAATTTCCCAGTGACGGCGACGACGCCGACTTGTCGAACTGGTCGTTCAACGGCGTCACCGGGCTGAGGGTGAGTGACGGGAAGTCAAGCAGGCTCGGGGAGAGTATCTCCTGATGACGTGGAGAAAACCCAGAAGCCGATTGGAAGTTGGGGATGAGGGTGTTGATCATGAGGGTGTTTTTGAGATTGGTGCTCCGCCGCTCGTAGAGCTTGAAGCCCTGCTTTTTCGGTGGGGCGGTTTTGATTGGTGGGATGTTGAAGTTTTTGTTGGAGGGTGGCAAAATTGTTGGATCTTGGTGGTGGTGGTGGTGGTGGCTGTTGTGGTGGGCGGCGGCTGTGGGTTTGGGGGAGGACTGGTGAGTGACAGTTTCCGAGGAGCCGGTGAGCATTTGGACAACATGTTTGAAGTTCGAGGAGTCAGCTTGGACAAAGGTTGTCGGGTAGGGATTGGAGTCAGATCTGGGAGTTGAGACTTTCGGGGTTGTCGGGATTTGAGTCGCCACCGCCGGGCTGCTGCTGCTGCAGACGCTGCTGTTGGCGTTGGTGGTCATGCCATTGTTGTTGCTCCTCGGCGAGTTTATAGGGGAATACGAATACGGCTTCTCTCTGATTTCTTGAGGTCTTGAGCTTGTGATGTATTCCATTTGGAATAGGTGGGTGTTTTTGTCACTGCCACGGCCACCAAAAACCGCTCTGCGACTCAAGAAAAATAGAGAGAGCTTGCTTTAAGATGGGGTTTGGTTGCAACTTGGAAGAAGACCCTGGAAGAGTGAAAAACAAGGCTTTCGGTTTTTGGTTTTGGCTTTGAAATGGGAAAAAGAAAAGAAAATAGAAAGACAAAAAGGGTTGTTGCTTATTTGCTATGTTTTGTTTTCTTATGGTTGAATATTGCCATTTTCTCTCTCTTTCTTCCTTTCTCTTTTTCTTCTTTTATTGTTTGACGGAAATGTTTTTTAAATTACTCTAACTTACGAGAATGAAACTAAGAGGGTGTATTTAATTGAGATTTTGAGATGTTTTAATTTTTTGTTCAAATTTATGAGTATTTAATCAGCATTTTAAATGATTCTTTGAAAGTCAGGGTGTATTTAATTAGGATTTTAAAAGAGTTTATAGCATCTCAGATGTATGCATGTGTATTCAATTGAGAATTTGAGAAATTTTAATGAATTTATAAATCTATGGATTTTTAGTTTAGGGGGGTGTATTCATTTGGGATTTTAAGGGATTTTTAATTCTTTTAATGAATATAGGGGTATTCAATCAGGATTTTAAGTGATTATTAAATTCAAGGTCTATTCAATTAGAATTTAAAGATAGTTTATTATAATCTTTAGAAATCTGAGAGTATTCAATTAGGCTTTTAAAGAAGTTTATAATATTCCAGGTGTATTCAATTAGAAATTGATTTTAAAGAATTTGAGAAAGTTGAGGAATTAGAGGAAATTGGAGAGATTTTGTAGTGTATTTTAAGCATCCACAAATCTCACCTCTTATAAGATTTCAAGGGAATTGAATCAAAATTTTATAAGGAATATTTACAAATCAATTAAACTCCACAAAAATCCATGGATTTATAAATTCATTAAAGTCTCTCAAATTCTTAATTGAATACACTAATTGATTTGTAGAGATTTCATATAAAATTTTGATTCAATTCCCTCGAAATTTCATGGGAAGAGGTGAGATTTGTGGATGCTTAAAATACACTACGAAATCTCTCCAATTCCCTCTAATTCCTGAACTTTTTCAAATTCTTTAAAATCATTTTCTAATTAAATACACCTGGAATATTATAAACTTATTTAAAATCCTAATTGAATACACTCGGATTTATAAGGATTTTAATAAACTAACTTAAAATCCTGATTGAATACATCTTGAATTTTAGAGAATCATTTAAAATCCTGATTGAACATCCCTAGATTCACTAAAAGAATTAAAATCACTCAAAATTCCAATTGAATACACCCCCCCCTAAATTTTGATTTTAAAGAATTTTTAAAAATTGGGGAATTCGAGGGAATGTGAGAGATTTTGTAGTGTATTAAGCATTCTCAAATCTCACTCATTCCCTCTGAGAATTTGAGAGAATTTACTCAAAATTTTAAATAGATTTTCTAAAAATTAATTAAACTCCATAAAATTTATGGTTTTATAAATAAATTAAACTCTCGCAAAATCTCTTTTAAGAGGTTTTAATACTATATTACTATTCTTATTTACTTACAAGTGTAAAATATCAAATTCAACAAGAATGTTAATATTCAATTATAGTTGAATCACGGTGGGACTTTCACCTCTTTCACTATTTTTACAATAAATTATTATTGCATAAAATTTATTTTATTAAAAAATTTGAAACTAAAATATTAAAAAAAATTAAATACTGGTCAATTGACTTTAACTTCCGTCTTTCTTTATTTCTTTTCTGAGTAGTTGGACTAAAGATGCCCCTTTTTCCTCTCTCGGTGGTTGATTTTTCTTTTTAGGTGTTTGGAGTGAGGTTGGGATGGAGGAGGGAGGTGATTGGTTGGATTGGGAATTTGAAGGGCGTGAGCATGTGTGTGCCACCAATGGGAAACTTATCATCATATCAAGGACAAGAGTGAGAGTGAGAGTGAGAGAGGCATTGACTTCAGAGCCCTGACTGCGGCTTCAGACTGCAGAGAGGCTCTTGTGTTGTGTGCTTTGCTCTGTGTGATGGGATTGGAGAAGATGATTGAAACACACATGTGATCACATCACAATCACCTCCCTAATACATTCACCGTCACGCGTCCTTGGGGGGTTTGTTTCCCACGCTCCTCCCTTTTCTTATAAGATGTTTTAACGAAACATTTTCGATACTATTTACTTTTAACAAAAATGATATTTTTATTCTAAAAAGTCATCATGATACTATTCACTTACAACATTTTTTATCATTTTGATTAAAACTCAAAGTTTTCAAATCATTTTCATTAACTCTTCTTTAATTATTATCAATATCAATATCAAATAGTTAACCCAAACAAAATTTTACATACCAAGAAGAGTTTCATCTCATCATCAACTGTCTTTGTATTGTATTGACATTTAAAAAATTAAAAAATTAAAAACTTTTTTATGCAATAATTACTTATCCAAAATAAATAAGACTAGGCAAATATGAAATATGTATTTTTTTTTTTATGCACTCAAATTTAATTTTTCTACATTTATTTTTGATTAATCTAAAATAGAATATTGCTAGTATAAAATGAACACATGAATAAATAAGATTTAAATATCTATTCTGAATCAAAGGGCCGTTCTTGTTATTTTGTTTTCTCATTGCTAAAGAATTGTTCATTATTTTGTTTTTATTTTTATTTTTTATTATTATAAATCTAAAATATAAACTTGTTGTCTACTCGTATCATAACACGTGGAATTTTAAATGCATCAGAACATGCACCATTTTTCTATACCGAAAATAACATGTCCATAAGCTCGACCCACATTAGATATCAGTATAATAACTAAAAAATGCACCACAATATATAATCACAATGTACAATTACACTAAGCCAATTAGCTTTGAGTGTCACTTCTCTTTTCAATGTTAAAAGATGTCTCAAGTTTATATCTTGCATCTCCAATAATAATAAACAAAAATACTATTATAGTGATATTTGTGAGCCAAAATTAATGCCAAATATCCAGAATATGACACGCAAATTTTTTTTCAAAGAAGACAAGAATGGCCACAAACATTTTCTTGCACAGTCCAACATTGTTGGAGGCATAAGTAGCAGACTACAACATCATCAAGCTCCTCTTCTCGCGGAAAGGAGGAAAAGTTTTAATTACTAAATCCTATCTTTAATATACTTATAATTGAAGATCAACTCAAACAAGTAAGGAATCCTCATCACAATCAATTAAGGATACTTCCATCATCATCTCAAGATAATTAGTATCTTTGGGATTATTCTTTCCTCATCCATCCTACAGATGACAAACCTTGGTCAATGGGAAGCCGCCATGTGTAGGGCAAAACCCTAACCCTATGGCCAATCATCTCCCTCTAAATACCCCATCTCCATCAATTCATGGTAAGCTTTTGTGACGCAATCAAGCCCTAGACACTCACTCTTTTTAGAGAGAGATCCATTGGCCAAATCCCCCTCACCTCGTGGGTGCATGAGGCTTTGGCTCTAATCAAGGATGTTTATCTCTTTTGTATATACAAATTCGTCAAGACTGAAGACAACGAAAATTTGCTACCACAATACTATACTAATATATCTGTAATAAAAAACCCTAATCTTGAATCTTAAACTCATAAATCTCATAAGACATATGAAACTATTTATATACTCTTTGCCATCATTTGAAATTTGTTTTTAGAACTTATTAAGAACATAAAACTTGGGATTTATAGACATTAAAATTGGATTTATTTTGGTGTGAGACTATCACAATGTGTATGACACTAGTTCGCACATAACCCCAAGTGAATCTCACATGTAGAGCCATTTTTTTTAAAGGGGAGACAACTGGTGGCAAGTCATGGTTATCCATCCCTTCTGGGGGTCAGGAAAACTCACACATGTAGAGCCATTTAGACGGAACAAAATTGATAGAAGGGAGAAAGAGAGTTGAATTTGTATTTCATAAACTACAATCAACCGTTATTTTCTCTAATTATTTTAAGGACAAACTTGGGTTTTAAGTTTCATGTAGTGGCGCAACTTTTAGACTACATCTACATGCACGCAAGTTATTTAATTAGTTACCTCATCATCTCATTTGTGATGTCAAAAGTAAGATTCCAACGTATAAAAAATCTCATATTTTATCATGTTAATTAATGTTATTATCTCCATTAACCCAAAGGTTATTAGTATTTTATATAAGTCTTGGAACATGAATCAGTTCGGTTCCACGATGAGAGTAATGGTTAGATTCTAACTTTCATTTTCTCCAATCCAATTCTTAGTATGTTCCCTGCCCACATTACTTGTGGTTCTTATTTTGTTTGCACTTTAAAATATTGCAAAGAAATAAAAAGAAAAAGAATCAAATTCTAGTTATCGGAGTTGGGGTGGGAAGAGGGCAAGAAAAGTGGAAGGAGGGACCAAAAGTCCATTACACACATCTTCAACTAAAAAAAAATATAAATAAAAAAAAAATTCATAATGACAATCATTGTTGTTTGTAATGTGGACAAGTCTTTACTTATAAACATAGAAATTATTAGCTTAATTAACTTGTAAGATTTGATTAGTGTATATATAAGAAACCAACATAAGGTGAATAAATATCCCATTGCGATGTTAGAGTGGGACATGGGAAGGTTCAAGGACGGATACAAACTTGTTGGAAAGGTTAATTTGTTAGCTTTTTGGCTTATTATTAGTTAAGGGTATTTTTTTACGGGTAATACTAGAGAGACTAAAATTTTAAAGAGTAAATTACATAAAACTACCTCAACTATTAGGTCAGTCATAGTTTCATACCCCATCTTTAAAAAATTTAATGTCATACCTCATCTACAAATTTTTTACAATTTCATACCTTCTGTCAGTTTTTTGTCAATTCTTCCGTTAAATAGTGATGTGGCTTGAGACGGGCCCACTCTCTATTAAAATTTAATTAAATATTAAAAACTAAAAAAAAAATCATTTAATATATATATATATGTTTTTTTGCATGGGGACCCACCCCTTATCCCTTCATCCTTTCTTCCCCTTCTCGTCTTCCCCAAACCCAAACCCAAATCCCACCCACCCCTTCCAGCAATCTCATTCACCACACCCAACCCAAACCCAGAACCCGGCCGACATTACTCCAACTTTGACCGTCGTCGACTGCATCATCTTTAG